TGTGTGTGTGTGTGTGTGTGTGGGGTACCCACGGAGTCCAGAGGAGGGCATCTGATCACTTAGACATGGAGATTTAGAAACTTTTGAGCTTTCAGAGGTAGTTCTGGGAACTGAACTCCAGTCCTTTGCTAGAGCTTAAATTTCTTTTATGTGTGTGTGCTCGCACAGGTGTACAAGTGCCCACGGAGGGGCATTGGAGCCCATAGAGCTACAGTTACAGGCAGTTGTAAACATTTTCCATGAGTGTTGTGATTCTGTTGTTGGCAATTATTTTCTTTAAATTAGTTTAAGTGCTTGCTACTAAATTGAAATGACTATAAACCCACAATCAGTGGGCATTTTTAAAATTAATATCTATTTAGCAATCAAAATTAAGCTCAGTAGGTGGAAAGCTTGCCTAGCATGCTTGATGCCATGGGTTCAATCCCCAGGACTGTATAAACTAGGCATGATAGTATAGATGTTAAAAGGTAATTTTTAGACACTCCATGATGTGAGGTCAACCTGGGCTATATAAGATCCAACCTCAAAGGGATGAGGAGGTATACAAAAATTTGAAGTTAGCTGATCACATGAAAGGGTTTTAAGTAGACAAACTGGAGAAAATTTGAAACATATAATATATGATGACTTTAAAAAGCAAATATTGGTACCTAGAAGATCATATTGTTATATAAAAGCAATTGTATGTACTAGAAATAAGCAAATATATAAGAATGGAAAAATCCCTTTACATTAGCTACTGATGCACACACGTAGATTAAAGTCGGAAAATTAGAACCATGATAGTAATAATGGTTTTAAATTAAGATATAATCATATCTGTGAGGATCTAGAGATATCTCAATGGATAAGAACATGTGCTGCATAAGCATGAAGACCTGAGTTTGAATCCTCAGTCGCCATGTAAAAAGGCAAGTGTGCTAACACACACCTGTAACACTAACTCTGTGGGTCATAGGGACCTTCTGACTGCCAACCACCTCCAAGTCTAATAAGAGACACTGTGTGGAGGAAATAGGGCAGAGAGTGGTTGAGGAGGACACTTAGTGCCTTCCTCTGGTGTTCACACAGCCATGGGGTGTACACATGTGCACACATGCATATGCTACCTGAAGAAGGTAAAAATCTATAAGTGATTTTTGTGTGTAAAAAATGAAGAGAAACAGTGTGTTTGTACAAAGAGACTTTCCTCAGATGTCACTTATTCATCACACAAAGAAAAGTAAATCTTTAGCACAGATTAAGGTAGAGAACACATGTACAGCAGGGGCTCTAAGAAAACACCAGCACCATTTGGGTACATGCCTCCTGACTGGATGTTTGGAGTCAGATGTCTAGGCAGAGTTCCCAGTCAGTGTGCTGGGAAAGACCTAGGTAACACACAGAGACCACTGAAGATTCCACTGTGGCTAACTTTCATGTTTGGAACAAAGTTGTCCCCCTGTGCTTCTAGAAAATTCCCTGGAGAAAATATGCTTGTACTTCTTTGATTAACTCCACAGAGGCATTCTTCTGCTAGAAAACCTTCCCATACATTTTCTGAGTGGCCTGACCACTGCTTGAGAGCTTCCTTGTCCATAGTTCTGAGAGTCCTTGTTTACCTTTATGAGACTCTTTGTCTTTGCAATTGTTATGAGCATTCATCATCAGCTGATGAAAATCCACTCGGTGCTAGAAGCAGAAAGAGAAGTTGCAAAAACAGAAGATTAATGGTGAGGTCAGAAGTCAGAGGTGGATCAGCCATGCAGAAGCTTTGATTACTCAAGTTAGTGTTGCTGAAGTCATCACAGAACAAAAGTACCAGTGGCTAAACCAGGAAGCCATGCAGCTACCACATCAACCACATTTACAATAAAGTATAAGAGATACAAATTTAAACAATAGCCTTGATTTTTGAGAATGTTTTTGAAGGAGATGATAATAGTATTTTCCCCCTTTTAAATTATTTTTATGTATTCTTATAGAATTTCCTACATGTATACAATGAGATATGTTTCTATCCACCCCACCATTTCCTCCATTCCATCTCTTCTCTATCCCTTATAACATTTCTTCCTCAAACTTCATGACCTCTTCTTTTTTAATAACCCACTGAGTCCAGGTGGTGCTGCCCACATGTGTCTGGCTGTGGGGCCATCCACTGGTGCAAGGGAAATGTACTGGTGGCCACACCCTCCCTCTGCATCCATCAACTATCAGTAGTTCTTCAGTGAGGGGTTAGGGTTCGAGAAGTCCTCTCTAATCCATGCTGTAGATTTGGTGGCCTTGGTATTGTGTAGGTATTGTGCCTTGCCATTTTTTAAAATATCAGTCCAACAGACATCTTGTTTTCTTTCCTATTGCTAAGGGTTAATTCTTGTCTTATTTTCAATTGATTTTTCAAAACTCTAACTTATCCCCCCCCGAAATGTTATTATTCTCTCTATCTCTGTTTCTCTCTCTCAATCTAGCCTTCTGTATCTACCTTTAGTGATACATGAAGGGAAGTACACACGTCCCATTTTCACAGCCCAACACATTATTAAACCATGGACCTCTAAGGGGAGTACCACTTTTTACCTTCTGTTTAGAATCCAGGCGATTTTCCTTCATTCTGTCCATGAAATTTTTGAAAAATGCTATTGCATCCTTTGGGAATATGGAGACATTTAACTTCTCATATATTGGGGTGAGGAATGGAAAGAGTACTGGAAAGGATAGATAGAAAAATAAATTTTAGTGGAAAGGCAAGTTTCATTTAGAGAAATCATGAAGCAATTGAAAGAATAAGTCACCAAGTCTCCACCAGAAGCCATTCTCTCTGTGATCTTGTTCACACTGGGTCATTACATAATGCTCCTTCTGCACTTTGGAGTAGGCAAAGGAACACCTCTGACTCTTGGATTTAACTCTGTTCCTGTAGTTTGTGTGGATATAGAAAGTACAGACAGGGGCTGTTGTCATGGTTCAACAGCTAAAGAGTCCTGCAGACAAGCCTAACAACCTGAATTTGATCCCTTCATCTTATACTTTGGAAGGAGAGAACTAACTACTGTAAGCTATTCTCTCATTTCCACATGCCACAAAAACATCAAAGCAGGTGTTCCTGCTTTACAGTTGACATTGGTAATGGGCCGTGTGGAACATCAGTCAATGCAGACTCCTACGTAATTAAAGTGCTGAGAATAAATGACTACTGAGTGCTGGGCCCTGTATGGAGTATCTACACCAACACCCACACCACTCAAGGCTCAAGGGACATTATGAAAGAGGGTGTGGGAATAAAGTAAAATCCAGGGAATGGTGGTGTGAGATGCCATATCATGGACATGGCATGGCCCACTTGTAGAATGAATGAATCTTAAAAGGTCTTATTAATGAAAACAAACCCAGAGCCAGGTACTGGGGTGAATGCTGGAAGATCAGAGAAACAGAACAAGCCATGGCCTCACCTTGGCAGTTCCTCAGCTGATCTCTTTCCTCAAGCTGGAAGCCTCTGTGTCCTCATCCAAACGGATAACAGCTGAACTGCTGCTAAAAGTCTAAAAGATCACCAGGCTCTAGTTCCTAGTCCTCATGCCTTATATACATTTCTGCTTCCTGTCATCACTTCCTGGGCATGTGTCACCATGCCTGGTTGTTTCCAGTGTGGCTTTGAACTCACAGAGATCAAGACAGATCTCTGCCTCTGGAATGCTAGGATTAAAGGTGTGTGTGCCACAATTTTCTGGCCTCTACATCTAGTGGCTGTTCTGTTCTCTGACCAGATAAGTTTATTAGGGTGCACAATATATTGGGGAACACAATATCATCAAACCCACTCATTATCTGACTACCTGCATGAGATCACACCAATAATAATGGTCAGCATCCTGGGAGGAAGCACACATTGGACTCAAAAGGGAAGGGACATAAATTGGGAGGAAGATGTGTTGGGGTGTCTGAGGGAAGAGGGAGGTGAGAGTTAGGGGTAGGTATTATCAAGATAGATTGTATGCCTATATGATACTGTCAAAGGATAAATAAAAGAATTCTAAATCAAAGCCAGGACTGGTGGCATACGCATTACTCCCTGCACAGAGAAGATTGAGGTAAGGGGATCACTGTGAGTTTAAAATCAGCCTGGTCTACACAGCAACTTCCAGGCCAGCTATAGCAACACAGTCTGAAAGAAAAATGAAGTTTTAAAACAAAAGTAAGGGCTACATACATTTGAATACACTAAAAATATTCGATTGTGTCTTTAAGGGGGTGAATTATATACCAATAGAGTTGTTAGTTTTGGTAACTGTGGACGAGGAAGGCAGAACTGACTAACATGGCCACAGACAAGAGCAGTGGGTCAAAAGGCAGAAGAACCATCATGCATACCTACTGACATGGCTATTGGGTTAAAAAAATCGAATCTTATTAGCTTCCTGGCCTTTTCCACAAAAGGGTCCTTTGGGTTGTTGAGGGAATCAACATTCACACCAAATGACGTGCTTGTGATCACATCCATGCTGTAGGCCCCAAACACTCTGAGGAGAGAGACATGGGAATTTAACACATGCACCAAGAAGCCTGAAAATTTCATATTCTTGGGCAGGACAGGTGAAATCACCTCAGTGCCGACTAAGCATCTTTCCATCCTACCCTCCCCCTACCCCTGTGACCTTCGCATGACCATGTTTCTTTGCAACTGAATATTTTGTCATCTAGTGTCTAAAGGGAAGAAGGAGCAGGTGGACCATGTGGGACACACAGATTATGACCCTTCTGTCCCAGTTGCCCTTTCTCTCCCAGAACCACAGTACATGGATCACTACTTACTCTTTCATGGGGATAGGCTTGCCTTTCTCTGCCTCTCTTCTCAAATATTTTACCAAAATATCTCCATACTGTTCAACGATGGGGAACATCTAAGCACAAAACACAAAGGCATCCATAGTTAATTATGGGGACTCAAGTCTCATAAACGTTTCACCTAAAAGTCCTTTGAGTCACCTCTTTGAGTTTTCCACTAGTGAAGGCAGGAGACAGCAAGGCTCGAATTCTCTTCCACTCCTCATCCTTAGCCATGGTGATGGCTTTACACATAAACCCCAAAGGACCAAAATCCTAGAGTCCAAGAAATACAAATTTAGGTTTCTGTAAGTCCAGAATTATCCATGGTTGCAAAAGTGCTAAGTGGATACTGCTGTATAAAAATTAGTTACTGACTGTTTACTATGGATCAACCCTCATGCTAGATGCAAAAAAATGTTAGAATTTCCTCACAGTCCATAAATCAGGTGCTCACTGGGCTGCCTGTTGAGATTTCAAATCTCTATATTTCAGGATCCTTCTAAATGTAAGCCTCTCTGTGGTTGGAAAATTAGTTCCATTGTTTGAGAGAAGATGGGAACAAGATATAGCAGATTCTCCAGAGCTATGCAGATGGCAAGAGACTTGGGTACAGATGGAAAGTTATCTTTGCAGCAGACAAGTTCTGTAGTTCTATATTTACAACATTACCAATGTGAAACTTCCTTTTACCTTCCCTACTTCTTTTTTATACTATTGTAGAGTCTCCCAACACGCCCTTATATTAAAGTGCTCAGCACAACAGGAAGAAATGTAAGTGGCTTCCACTTGATGAAGGGCAGCTGCAAACTCGGCCTTCACCCAACTTCACCAAATGACCCAAGGCTGAATGACAGTCAGAGAGATGGTCGCAGGTAAAGGTGCTTGCTGCCTAGCCCATCAACTTGAGTTCAATCCCCAGGACCCACAAGGTAGAAAGAGAAAACCAATAGGTTTTCCCAGATAGATCAGTGGGATAGGCATGGTTTAAAAAAGAGAGAAAACATTGAACTAAGTATCATACCTAGTACAAAATTAACATAAATAACGCCATATGTTCAAGAGCAAATCTCAAAAGTGTGTAATTTGTATTCAAGCAAACCCACACAGGAGGATCAGGTAAATAGTCATCAGACTTGACACTGACCCCACAATCCATGGAGAAGGAAAATGGATACACAAGGTAAAGAGAAGAAGACAGGTTGAACAAGGCAGCTAATGGGCTCACAAGAGGGAATTGCCTGATCAAGGAGCAGCTCTGTATTCTCAGTGTTTGTCACCACACAAATCTAGACCTGTGGTTAAGTGTACTTCACCACACAGACATGAGAAAGGTCCTGTGAGACAGGAAATGTAAACACAATCTAGATGACAACAGTGTTCATCTGCAACTAGATTACAATAATATAGTATATTTACACTTCCTATTAGCAAAATGAATGCCCAGACCCTGCTTATATGTTATTGTGGAAGCCACTGTGAATCTATATTTATTTCATTTTTTAAATTTATTAAGTAGCCAGGAGGTGGCGGTGAATGCCCTTAATCCCAGCACTCAAGAGGCAGAGGCAGACAAATCTCTGTGATTTCAAGGACAACCTCGTATATAGAGTGAGTTCTAGGATAGCCAGGACATATTAGAAACCCTGTCTTGAAATATTCAAAATAAAAAATAAAAACAAATACCCAGTATAGCTGGGTGGTGCTGGCACATGCCTTTAATCCTATAATTTGGGAGGCAGAAGCCGGTAGATCTCTGAGTATGGGCAAGCCTGGTCTATAGAGTGAGTTCTCTAAAAAATCAAACCCATCAACCAAAATAAATTCAATAAGTAAAATGTAAAGTTGTATATTAGTAAATGAGGGAAGCTGGAGATATGGCACAACAGTTAAGGGCACTTGCTGCTCTTCTGGAGGAGCCAGGTTCAGTTCCCAGAATCTATGTCAGTCCACTCACAACTGCCTAGGACACCAGCTCCAGGGCATCTTGCATGCTCTTCTGGCCTTTGCCAAAACCTGCACACATATGTCATTCACTCATATAAACACACATATATAGACATAAATACAAATAACAAACATAAATCAACTTTTTAAATTAAAACAAAGTTACCTACCTGTCTGTTTGTGAAGACAGAATAGCATTCTTTCACTAGTACATTCTTGATCATCTCTGTGTCTGTGATAGCTAACACAGGTGTATGACCATCAAAAAACCTGTGTGGGGAAAACAGCTGATTAACCCAAGCCAGGTTCTGAAGCCAGAACCCCAAATCCAGACTTTGATTCTCATGTTATGGGACCCTCACTCTGGTTATACAACATTGTCACAGGAGGTCCCAGTCCAACTTAGGGAGTCTGACCACAGATCCAGTGGAGTCTTTGTAAAGTGATAGGTAATGTCAATCAGGACACTACGAGTCACTTAAATACAAAAAAACTTTGTAGTGGGAATCTAGTAGAGTCATTGCATCTAGAATAAACACTAGAATGAAAAAGTTGCTTTTCACTCTATTTTCGGCAATGACAGAATGTATTAGTTGTTTGTTGAAGGTACCTAGACCTTGAAGAAATCATAATAGAGAACAGTGACTATTTTCTATGATTTGTAGGGTTGTTTTTTTGAAGGGGTTTTCCCTCTGTTGCATGACTTTAGTCACGAGACTATCCAGGCATTCTTGGAGGTCTTGAATTATTGGGTACTACAAACAGTGCACAGTAAGGACTGAAGTATCTGGGGTGTGATGACTTCCTTCAGAGAACATCTAGAATAGATTAAAGGACTTTGGTATAAGAATCTCACTGTATCCCAAACACAACCTTTTAGCACAGCTTTAGTTACAGGAAAACCCCACCAGATATCCTCATACAGAAAAAGAAGCCAATTAAAAGTTAGAGCAAAGCAGGGTCATAATAAAGAAAAAATGTTGTAGGTACAATGACTACTAAAAGAAATAATAGTTTTCTCACAGCTGCAAAGTAACCAAGGACAGCACCTCCAGACAGAGGTGCATCAATCCTGAGTCTGCTCCTGTGTAGCCTGAAAACCCGAACCCCCACTTGCTTTACCCCTTTGCTTTACTCCCTATAAATACCCTTCCCGATTGCTCCTCGGGATCCATCCTGCTGTGCTGCTGTGTCAGATGACTGGACAGTCACTAGTTAACTTGTAACACTACAAAGACTCTTTGCTTTGGCATTAGATTCAGTCTCTTGGTGTATTTTGGAGTTACCCTAGGTTCAACATTTGAAGGTTCCACCAAGATTCCCAATCCCACCACTACCACTCTCCATTGAGTCTTATGGTGCCTATTATCTGGTAACATCAAATTTGTTTTACAAGCTTTTTTGGTTTCTGTTTCTGGCTATTTATGGCAGTAGGAGCTCTGTCTGTGAAGCCCGCATAAGATCTATGGTGGATTCAGTGGCAGGTCGTGGGTTGGGGTCCTGACACACGTCCCAGGGCTCCTCTGAGGGGTAAGGAGACCCGTCTGAAGGGAAGATGATTTCCCTGGTTTTTCTGGAGAGGCTAAGCAGGTGGCAACTTCAAGCTGAGAGTCCACTGACTCATTTAGAGATCTATGCATGACTGTCTGTCTTGTCTGTCATTGTCTGAGTGTTTGTTGCTGTGTTTATGCCCTTGTTTGATGGTTGGTGCAAATTGAATACCCTAAGAACATGGGTCAAACTAATAGTCACCCTACTCCATTAAGTCTGTTTTAACAACTTGAAGGATTTCAGGGACCATGGACACAGCGTTGGGTTAGAAGATCTGAAACCTGTGAACCTGGGGAACCTGTGTGAGCAGAAATGGCATGCCATTTACACTACCTGGCCACAAGAGGGCACTTTTCATTTATCTATTATAGGAAAGACCAAGGATGTCATTCAGAAAGAACATCATGACCAGCTCCCATACATTTCCATGTGGGAAGATGTGGTCTACTACCTCCACCCTGGCTTAGGTCCCTGGTTTCAACTCAGCCACCAATAGAGTTGCAGATTTTTACACTGAGAAAGGAGGGCCAACTCAAGAAAGCTACCCCTGCTGCTCCCCTCCCCACTGTCTTGCAAGGTAGAATGGAGGAAGAGTTCTTCCTCACACCTCTGCCCTATCCCTAGCTCCTTCCCTTCTGAACCCTCCACAGGTTCCCTATCCCTCCAGGGAGAAGCCGATGGAATGGCTCAGCCTGTGGTCTTGCAGGTGGCCAGCCCCCCTACACCTATAGATGTACCCCCTTTTAAGACTCCTCAGGACCTCAGCCAGAGTTCACTGCCTTACCTCTTCAGGTGCTCAGGCCCTGGAACAAACAGTGAATTGAGATTGATCAATACTGGCCCTTTGCAATGGTTGATCTATGCAAATGGAAAAACTAACACCCCCTTTTCTCAGAAAACCGAAAGGGATTAATAACCTGTTAGATTCAGTGATATTTACACACGTCCCAACCTGGGATGATTGCCAGCAGATATTGCAGATTTTGTTCACAACAGAGGAGAGGGGACTAATTGTGGTAGAACCTGGGAGGTCAGTTTTCAGTCTGAAGGCCTCCATACCACTGACAAATCTATGATCAATGCAGGGTTAACATTGACCAGTATTGAATGGAATTTCAATATATCTGAAGGTAGGGAGACTCTTAAAATCCATTGCCAGACTCTAACAGGGGTCCCCCAGGCCACAGAGTGGCAACCCACTAATTTGGCCAAAATTAATAGCATATCAAAGGAACCAACCGAATCCCAATAGCCTTTTTAGAGCAGCAAATAGAGGCATTCATGACCTGATCTCCAATGGATCCTGAGGCAGCAAATAACAAATTGGCTGTGATCCTAGCCCTTGTTAATCAGGCCACCCCAGTCATTATAAAGAATCTACAGAAAATTGATAATCTAGCAGGGAAATCTTTATCTGAACTGCTAGAGGTGGCATCTAAGGTGTACAACAACAGAGACCCCAGAGGAAAAACAGGCCAGGTCAAGGGCTGAAGAAAATGAATGGGGGGTCGGGATGGGGACAGAATAAAGGCTTCAGAGAATGAAAGGCAGAGACAGCTGAAGCAATAGGTGATCACATGACATGGCATGCCTATTCTTAGCAGTCATGGTTTCAGACCCAGAGGAAAGACAGAAGCAACTATGATGCCTTGCTGGGAACCAAGATAATCCTTCCTGCCAGAGAGATATGCCCCCTGTGCAGAGAGACCAATGTGCCTACTCTAAAGAAATGAACTATTGGGCAAGGAATTTCCCCTATAAAGAAGGACATAAAAAGCTGCCTCCCCAGGTGATAACAACAAAACATGAGGAGAAGGGGATGGGGTTTGAGTCCCCACCCCAAACCTAGGGTAATATTAAAATTGGAGGGGAGGCCTGTCCAATTCATGGTGGATACACACACACAGCATTCAGCTCTGACAGAAACTGTGGGCCCTATAACCAAGAAAAAGGTATGGGTACAGCGAGCCACTGGCATGAACCAATACCCATGGACTACCCAAAGACAGTTAGATCTTGGCTTGTGCTGGGTATCCCATTCTTTTCTGGTCATGCCTGACTCTCCATACCCCCTTCTAGGAAGAGACTTGATAACCAAAATTGGAGCTCAAACCACATTTGAACAGGATGGGGTGGCAGTGACAGACTTAAAAGGAAAATCAAAATAAGTCCTGACAGTACAATTGGAAGATGAATATGAACAGCCATCCCCATGCCATGAATTGGTTCCCTTGGCTGAAATTATACCCCGAGGCATTTGTGGAGACAGGGGGGCGTGGACTGGCTCAACACTGACCCCCCATCTTGGTGGAATTCAAACTGTGGGCTCCCAAGGTATGGGTCTATCAATATCCCATGTCAGCAGCAGTATGGATGGGTATCTCCCCTCACATCCATTGCCTGCTTGACCAAAAGATTTTAAAACCTTGTCAGTCATCCTGGAGCACCCCCCTACTCCTGATCATGAAGTCAAACTCTGATGACTACTGCCCAGTTCAGGACTTGAGAAAGGTTAATAAATGTGTCATTGACATTCACCCCACTGTCCCGAATCTGTATAATCTTCTGAGTTCATTGTCACATAGTCTATAAAGGTATCCTGTCCTAGATTTAAGAATGCTTTCTTCAGCTGTCACTGTCCCCCCAGAGCCAGGTTTACTTTGCCTTTGAATGGCATGACCCTGGAAAAGGATTCAGCTGGCAGCAGATTTAGACTCGGCTGCCCCAGAGGTTCAAGAAATCACCCACTATATTTGATGAGGCCCTCCATGAAGACCTGGATGCCTACCAGACTGAGCATCCCAGAATTCTTCTCCTACAGTTTGCGGATGATATCCTAATTGCAGCTGCCACCAAAGAGAACTGCAACGTAGGGACAAGGGACTTGCTTCAGACTCTAGGAACTCTGGGGTATTGGGTTTCAACCCAAAAGACACAGATCTGTTGAGAAAAAGTGACATATCTAGGCTATATTCTCAAAGGAAGGCAACACTGGCTGTCAGAAGCTCACAGAGACTGTGTTAAAGATGCCCACCCCAAATGTCAGAAGGCAGGTTATAGAATTCCTCGGTTTTCTGATGCCTATGGATTCCAGGATTTGCTGAGATGGTAAAACCCCTGTGTGAGGCCTCTCAGCACACCAGACCTTTGAGTGGATGGCCAAACAGAAGACTTCTACACTGGTCAAGGCAGTTTTGTTGTCAGCTCCAACACTTGGGCTTCCAGACATCACAAAGCCCTTCTGCCTATATGTAGATGAAAACAAAGGAGTAGCAAAGGGAGTCCTAACCCAGATGCTTGTGGCCTCAGCATGGCCCTCATGCCTGAGCATCACAGTGGCCTTTCCTTTGCTTGTCAAGTTGCTGACAAGCTCTCTATGTGGTAGGAACTAACTGTGACAGTGCCTCATGCTGCAGAAGGGGTCCTAAAGCAACCTCCCACACACAGGTTTAGCAATGACTCACTACCCGACCCTCCTCCTCAACCCCCATGCATATGCTTTGCCTCATCAACGGCCCTAAATCTGGCTATCGTTGTTCCTGACCTAGATCTGGAACAACTAATTAATGACTGCTCTGAGATACTCAGACAAGTTCATGAGACATTGTCAGCCAACGTCTGATGCTAAGCTTACTTGGCACACCAATGGGAGCAGTTTCCCCAAAGGTGGAAAAAGGTATGCGGGTGCTGCAGTGGTCATTGAAGGAGAGGATATTTGAGCTGAGGCTCTGCCCCCAGGGACATCAGCACAGAAGACAGAACTGATTGCGTTAACCAAGGACTGACAACTAGCCAAAAATAAAAAAAAAACTCAATGTATTTACAGACAGACACTATGCCTTTGCTACAGCACATATACATGGTGCTATATGGGGACTTTTAACAGCTGATGGGAAGAGTATCAAAAATAAACAAGAAATTCTAAACCTTCTGCAAGCTCCTGGAAAAGCTAGCTATCATTCACTGCCCATGAAATCAAAAGGGAGACTCCCTGGTTGCCTGGGAAGCCAGCAGGAATACAGGCCTACTAAAGCAGTGGAAGAGGGGGCAGCCTCTGTATTAACCCTAAAGTTGCCATACAGGGGCCCCCATGAAATAACTGATAACCTGGCATATATTGCAGAAGATCTGGCCATCAATCACAGCTTACCACATGTCTGGCAGCCCCAGAAGCTAGACGGATGGTGTCTGACAGGAAGTAGGAAACTAATCCTGTGTGTTAAAATGGCAACAGACTTACAAAGCCATATTCACTGAGCTACCCCCCTGGGTCCCAAAATCCCTGAAGAATTGCTCAGATGAAGAATGCTCATCATTCAGTCTCTGAGACAAGGTGGAGCACATAGCCTCTAGATTCTTGGCCTGCTGACTAAATGATCCCAAACCCACCAAAGGACAGCACTGTGTGCAACTGAGAGGAGACCACCCAAGGTCTCATTGGGAGACTGACTTCACTTAGGTAAAGTCAGGAAAATTTGGCGACAAATATCTATTAGTTTTTATTGATACCTTTCAGGATGGGTAGAAGCCTTTCACACCAAGCACAAGATGGCCCAGATGGTGGTGAAAAAACTACTGAAGAACATTATCCCCAGGTAAGGAACACCTGTATTGCTAGGCTCAGACAATGGGAAGTGCATTTGCTGCTCGAGTAACTCAACACTTAGCCAAGGTTTGGGGAATATCATTGTGCTTATAGGTCCCAATGTTCTGGACAAGTGGAGTGTATGAATCAGATGTTAAAAGAGGTTCTTACCAAATTAACCATGGAGACTGGTGGAGACTGGGTGGCTCTCCTTCCTTTCTCTCTGTATCAAGTCTGAAACTCTTTATATACACTCAGGTTGACCCCCTCCCATACTCCTCAATTTACAGTCAGAACTGCTCACTGAATTCAATGATGTTAACTTGCATCAGCCTCAGTATTCAAGTATATCTGGCCAAGATTATGGGAGGTGTATGAAAAAGACCCTCTACCCACACTACGCCACTTCCAGCCTGGAGATTGGGTCTTTGTCCACAGACCTCAACACAGGACACTAGAACCTTGCTGGAAGGGATCCTTTCATTATGATTCTGATCACCCCCACCGTCATCAAGGTTAATGGAATTGCCACTTGGACCCACCACTCCTAAGCCCATGCAGCTGATCCAGAGTTGACTGAGCTCCTGAGACAAGCATGAGGAAACACCAAACACTGCCAGAACTGGACTGCAAAACTTAACCCCAACAACTCACTGAGACTTAAACTGAAGGTCATATCTCCCGATGGCCAGGGTGATGCCTGCCTTGTTCCTTACTCTTCTGACATCAGACAGGGCAAAACAGTAGCCCATATCAACCCCTAAATCTCACAAGGAAGCTTTTAGACACTGATGGGAATCTGGAAAGCAGGTCTCTAAACTCTCCCCACTAAAGATCTGGTTCCCTGACATTGACTTTGACCTTTGTGGGATAATAGGCCCTGACTAAAAAGTTAAAGCATGAGATATTGCATGGTCAGCTGATTGTCTAAGAAGGGCACATTTTTGTCTTCTCAGGTTGGAAACAATCAAGGGCTGACAAAGATGAGGGCGTATCTGACTACTACTGTGTGGTTTGTGGTTTTGAGTTCACTGGGCACATATGGTGGAAGCCCCTGGTTACAAGCAACCTCATCACATTCCACCAAAGCCCAAAAGTGTCCTAAATGATCCCACAGTCCTATACCCATGTGACATAGTCCACCTAGAACCTGTCACCCACTCTAGGAACCCTGTAACAATAACCTTCACAGAACAAGGTAAAAAGACTAAGGATTGGGATATGGGTGAAACACGGGGCATTAGGCTATATGAGTTTGGATATGATCCAGGGGTCCTATCTACTCTTTTTCTAAAAGACTTAGTACCTACTCTTGCAGGAGGGTAGGGGGATCCTTAAAGGATAGGGCCCAATAGAGAGCTGGCTCCACCTGAACCAGCTCTTCCCCCAGGGAAAACACAAGCTGGTCCCACACCATTCCAGTCCCCTTATCAGGTTGCTATATTTCTCAGAGCACCTAACCTCATCATACCAGAGCTGGACCCCCTCTTGAAACTGCTAGAGGCCTTCTACAAAGTCCTCAATGTCTCTAAACCAAACCTCACCCATTCCTGCTGGTTATTACTTGACACTAAGCCACCCTGCTATGAGGGAATAACTGCCATGGGGAAATACACTGAATCCGACCACCCTTCTCAATGCCATTGACAGCAGAAAGGGGAAGCCAGGCTTATTTTATAGTCTGTTGTGGGAATGGGGCTCTGCCTAAGAACGGTGTGTATCTCTTACAAGCCACTATGTAATCAGACCATTCAGATACTTCCCTACAGATACCTCCTGCTTCTGTAGGATGGATGGTGGGCATCCTTCTCTGGGTTGGCTTTCTGTGTTCACAGATAGGTATTGGGTCAGGCCAAAGTCTCTTGTATATTGGTGTGTCTGGTTCCCAAGATAATCTATCATCAAGAAAAAGACATGTACTCAAGATTAGAGGGATACCAGGCTTGACTGAAAAGAGAACCTTGACAGACCTCACATTAGGTGTCCTCCAGAGCATGAGATTGGCAGGTGCAGGGACAGAGATATTATCTTTAGTGGACATGGCAAATATTAAAATGATCTGTGAGCTGCAACTGACACCGACATAGAAAGGCTTGAAAACCCTATTGCCTACCTGCAGACCTCGTTATCTTCCCTTGCTGAAATAGTGTTATGTAACAAATGAGGGTTGGACCTTCTATTTTTACAGCAAGGTGGGCTATGTGCAGCTTTTGTGGAAGAATGCTGTTTCTGTGTTGACCATTTGGAGCTAATACATGAATCACTGGCAAAAGTGAGAGAGGGATTGGGAAAGTATGAGAGAGAGACAGAGAGACAGAGAGACAGAGAGACAGAGACAGAGACAGAGACAGAGAGCAAGTACAGGGCTGGTTTGAGTCACTATTAAACTCATCCCCATGGTTAACGACTCTGATTTCTACCTTATTGTGTCCCTTACTGATTTTGTTACTCTTAACTCAATTTTGCTCCTGTATCCCGAGCTACTTAATTTCCCTCATTAAGGAACAGATAAATACAATACAGCTAATGGTGTTGAGGTCTCAGTACCTTCCCTTAGGGACCCTCAGAGAGAACCTATGATTGAGTCCATTGAGTAACATCAAGAGGGGGGGAAATAAGGAACTAAGCCTCCTGTCCAGACCCATGCCTTGACTATTCTGCAGCTATGGCAGGCTATGGAAAACACCCAACAGAATGTAGGCCCATGGCTCAGCATGATGTACCCTTGAGTCCCCAAACTTGAGCCTAGCCCTAGTTACAGGAAAACCATGCCAGATGTCCTCATACAGTAAAAGAAGCCAATTAAAAGTTATAACAAAGCGAAGTCATGATAAAGAAAAAATGTAGTAGCCACAACAACTGCTAAAAAGATAATAGTTTTCTTGCAGCTGCAAACTAACCAAGCACAGCACCTCCAGATGGAGGTGCATCAATCCTGAGTCTGCTCCTATGTAGCCTGAAGAACCCAAACCTCTTCACCCTTCTTGCTTTACTCCTTATAATTACCTGCCTCCATGCTACTCAGGGTCTCTGCTGCTCTGCTGTCTTGTCAAATGAATGGATAGTCCTGAGTTGACTCATCACAATACAAACACTCTTTTCTTTGCATGGTTTTGGATCTCTTGGTGGTTTTGGTGGGACTCTGGGTATAACAACAGGCTATGGAGGTTGGCGAGTATCAAGACAAGGCAGAAATTGGCAACTTAAATTTGGAATAGGGGCCATTGCTGCAAGCCAAACTGCTCTGCCTTTCAAATAGTTAACTAATAAACCTGTATGGGTGGAACAGTGGTCCATAATTTAAAAAAATACAGGTGTTTGAGTAAGTAGTATAAAACATTTAGATGCTAAACACACTGAAAAATTACAAAGCCTTGGTATTATCCTGTATTTATAATAAAAATATCTTTAAAAAAAGTACTGATTTAAAAGCTGTAATGAATGCAATTGAACCTATGGGTCCTTTAGAGCCTAGAATTCCATTACCATCTTTATTGCCTAAGGCTTGGCTTATTATAGTTGTTGATTTAAAAGATTGATTTTTTTTACTATTCCCTTGCAGGAACAAGATAAAGAAAAATTTGCTTTTATAGTTCCTACTTATAATAATGCTGAAGGAAATGGTAAATAGTATAATGTTATGTCAATACCTAAATATGTAAAGAATCCTGGTGGTGGTGGCACACGCCTTTAATCCCAGCACTTGGGCAGAGCCAGGTGGGTCTCTGTGAGTTCGAGGCCAGCCTGGGCTACCAAGTGAGTTCCAGGAAAAGGTGCAAAGCTACACAGAGAAAACCTGTCTCGAAAAAACCAAAAAAAAAAAAAAGAATCCACTGGAAGTAGTTTGTAAGCAATTTCCTCAATTTATTATTTATCATTATGTTCAGGATAGTTGATCACTGTGAACACTGCGATTGCATTAATTAAATAAAATCAACCTTGTTTCAAGAGGCAGAGCCAGGAACTAGTTGACAAGAAGTAGCCATAGAGACTTAAAAGGAGCCTGGAAAAAAGATAGAGAAAGGCACAGGAAATAGTGAGGAGGGACTTGGAGTTTGGTGGTCCTGTTTGGTTGGGGACAGGAAAAGTAAAGCTCTCTTTCTGAGACTTCAACTGGGAGAAAGGTCAGCCTCTGCCTTTCTGAGATTGCAGGTTTTCACCCCAGCATCTGACTCCCAAGTCTTTATTGGTAAAATCATAAGATTGAGATTTAGTTTAAAAACAACATCATTATATGGATAATATCTTAATAGCTGCCTCTGATTTCAATATCTTTGAAAAGGTGTTTGCTGAGGTGCAACAGATTTTACCTCAATGGGGATTGCAAATTGCTCCTGAAAAAATTCCAAGAGGAGACTCTCTTAACTATTTAGAATTTAAATTAAGTAAGCAGAGAATCCAGCCATAAAAAGGACAGATTAGAAGAGATGAATTACATATACTTTATGATTTTCAAAATTTATTGGGAGATATTAATTGGTTGTGGTCTAACAATTGGACTGACTACTCAAGAATTAAGTAGCTTATTTCAAATTTTGCAAAGTGACTCAGATTTAAACAATCTTAGGCACTTAACACCTGAAGCAGAAAAGGTGTTGTCCCAAGTAGAATAGAAATTGCAAGATGTTTATGTACATCTGTTAGATCTCACAAATTGAATGTATTTTAGTAATTTTACCTTCTACTTAATCCCCTATTGGACTCATTATGCAGAGAGAAGATAATATTTTAGAATGGATTTTTTTTGCTCATAAACAGTATGTAAAGATAAAAATCTACAAAGGAAAGTTTTCTGAGTTAATTATAAAAAGAAGAATAAGATTTTGTCAATTGTCAGAAATAGATCAGGCTGAGATTGTAGTACCTCACACTAATGTTGAAATTATGCAATTATGGGTAATTAATGATGACTGACAAAGAGCCTGTAGCAATTATTTAGGAGAAATCAACAATATATATGCCAAAAGTAAAGAGCTTCAATTTATAAAAAGAACTGTATGGATTTTTCCCCATGTAGTAAAAAGAACACCTATTTCTGGGGCTCTTACATTTTATGCTGATGCAAATAAATTAGGAATGGCTGGTTGTAAATCAGGAAGTAGTCAAAAGTCCATATTTTTCAGTATAAAAATCAGAATTATATGCCATTATAATGGTTTTATTAGATTTTAATGAGTATCTTAATATGTTTACTGATTCTCAATATGCAAAAGGAGTTGAATTATATACATATACTGTTCAACTTATTCCTGATAATCAGAATTAAATTTGTTATTCATACAACTGCCACAAGTAATCTGGGAAAGAAATTATCCACTATATATCATTCACATTTGGCCTCAAACAGGATCTACAGGGCCATTTGAAAAAGGAAATGAAGAAATTAATCAACTACTAATAGAAAATGTATTCGAAACTTCAAAATGTCATAGAAAATCATGTTACTAGTTAAAGCTTAAAGTAAAAGTTTTCTGTTACCTGGTGACAACCTAAATAAAGTACAAAAAATGTTGTCCTTGTTCTTAGTACAGTCAAATTCCTTTACAAGCAGGAAATATTTCTAAGGGTACTCAAAGAAATGAAATTTGGTAAATGGATGTATTTCACTTAGCAGAAATTGGAAAAAACTAAATATATACATAATATATACATGCATATTCTGGATTTCAATTGGTATCTGCCCTAAGTTCTGAAAAGGCTGATTCTGTAATTACACATTTATTAGAAATGATGGCTGTAATGGGCATATCAATACAAATTAAAACTGATAATGCTTATGCTTATGTTCTCAGTAAAATAATTTTTTTTTTACATTATAACATAAACGTCATTATAGGGATACAACATAAACATGACAGGACAAGCAACTGTTAAAATATCTCATCATACTCTAAAAGACATGCTTTAAAAAAGAGGGTTAATAGGAGGACTCCCAGAGATAGATTTTTATCATGGTTTACTAACTTTAAATTTTTAAATGCTAATGAAGCAGGACAACAGCTGCTGAAAGTCATTGGACTGTGGGAAAAACTCTTGAATTAGGTTATCATGTGTATTACAAGGATATTTCAATCAGAATGGAAACTAGAGAAGGTGTTATGTTGGGGTTGAGGCTATGCTTATGTTTCTGAAGGAGACCAGAAGTTGTGGACACCATTAAAGTTAATAAATTTTGACACGAGCATGAGAAGTCTCCTGGCTATCTTGGTGGCTGACATGGATTGCACAACTCTGGAAAGAAAGAAATACAGGATGCCCTTGCAACAAAGAGCTTATCCTTCTACATGGGGATGGCTTAAGAAATTGACTGAAGAAGCAGAAACAATAGTTCAGCTGGCTAGGGAGCCTTTGAATTCTACAACATTGTTCCATGCTATGCTGTCTGTGGAAACTGTATATGTAATGGGGACCAATCATACTGGGCTAATCCTAATCCTCCCATTAATAAAGGGATCAGTTGGGGAGTTATAGATATTCCTGTAGTGGTCAATGAATTCTCTTGGCTTCTTGGTCCTTATGACTAGTGAGGACCTGGTGGGCCAGAGGAAGAGGGTAAGGAAACTACAAACCATACTGTGGAAATTCAAGGAATTCCAGTTTTTATGTGTGATGTAACTCACTGTCAAAATATAACTTTTCAAATTTGGTTATCTATAGTTTATACTACTCAGGAAGTTCAAAATAAAATTTATATGTTTCTTGCATTTGGGTTTAGAGGACAGGAGATTAATTCTACTAATTCCATAAATCTTCCATTTTGTGAGATGCGGATTAGCAACAAGGCATCTGACTGGATACATTGTCAACAATATACAAGTGAAAATCATCAGGTGCATATTAATATCTCCCAAGGAAAAGTCATTGATCAAAGCCCTTACTGCTTCCTATAAAGAAAGTATTCTCACTCAGAATTGAGAAGGCAAAAGAATGGTTTGAATGAAATTAGAGAAATTAGTTGTGAACCTATGCAATGGAATGGTGTTGGGATGTCAGTTCCTATGTGGCAATTTGCAAATTCAGTTCAGACTATTTTGAAGAAATGAGCAAGTGCCTTCCATTCTCTTAAAATATGGAAAGGAAGGTTAAATAGTAATGTAAAGGAATGTAAACAGTAATGTAAAGTATATATTGATGGCATATATACTTTGTCCTTTAGATGAAATCAAATTCACCACTTTGTAGCATGTGCCCCATTACCTTATATATTACTGAAAGGGTCTAAACAATGGCACCCTAATCACTATAGCATCACTTGGAACACTGTACTCTTCATACCTGCATTAATGCTAGCATGTCATTAGATGTCACCTCTTAATGTTTATATATTCTTGCAGCAAGGCCAACAGTTTGGATGCCAGTGAAGTTTTTGAGACCATGACATGCTAACCTGTAATGATTCTAGTCCAGAAACTCTCTGAGAGAATATTAAGAAGAACTCATAGGATGATTGAATAATTGTTGCTGTGGCTATGGGAATTATTGCATTAACTGACTGTGTCAGCTGGACTGGACCTTCATAAGGAAATTTAGACCACTGAATTTATTAAAGACTGGCATAAACATGTGCAGAACTTTGGGCTCAGCAAAATAGAATAGACAGGTAGTCAATGAAACAGCTGATTTGAGACAAGTTGTAATTCTAATGGGAGATCAGTCAGAGACACTGGGAAAGCAAATTAAATTAAAATGTGTTTAGAATGTCACATCTTATTGCATTACATCTTTAAGGTTACTGAAAGCAAGTATGATTAGAAAGGGTTAAAATGCATTTGTTGGATCACCCTAATTCTTCTCAAATGATTGATGATTTACAACAAGAAAGGGAGGAAACTTTTTCAGTTGAGGTATCTGATGTGTCCAGAATGGAAGTCATGGAAAGCATTGCAGATCCCTTAGCTTCATTCAATCCTGTGCTTCATTTTAATAGAATTCTTATCCTAACATTTGTTATACTTGTTTTCAATGTAATAATTTTACTGGATGGAAAATGTATTCTGGCTTATCTACCTAAGACTGTGAGACAATATGATACATAAAGGGGTATCTTCACTGTGTGGCTGCATAATCTTGAAGGTAATTAAAACAACTTAAACAAAAGGAAATGTAGTGGGTATCTAGTAGAGTCATTGTATCCTGGATAAACATTATAATAAAAAGTTTGTTTCTCAGTGTCTCTATAGTAATAGCAGAATGTATTAGTTGGTTGTTGAATGTACCTAGACCTTGAAGAAAACATAGTAGAGAACAGTGACTGTTTTCTGTGATTTATAGAGTTGTTTTTCTGAAGGAATTTTCCATCTGTTGTATGACTTTAGTCACAGGACTATCCAGTCACGCTTGAAGGTCTTGAATGATTGGATACTGCAAACAGTGCACAATAAGGACTGAAGTTGCAGGGGTGTGATGACTTCCTTCAGAGAACATGTAGAATAAACCAAAGGGACTTTGATATGAGGAACTTGTTGTACCCTAAACACAACTTTCCTGTACTCTCAGTAAATACGCTTCTGAACAGAGGTTCAAGGTTCAGTTCACAGAAACTGTTCCTCCCTGCTGCAGAGAGCCTAAAATTAAATTTTGGAGTAATTCTCATTTTTTAAGTGTCCTGAGCAATATGAATTACCCAACAACAGTTCCAAATAACATCATAATTAGAAACAACAAATGTAATTTTTAAGTCTAGATGTGTATATGTGAGAGTTGTTTATATCACTTTCTGATATTTGCATGTTTTAAATATTGTGAGGGGCAGGAGAAATGGCACCATAGTTAATAACACATATTGTTCCTGCAGAAGACTTGAGTTCCTAGCACAAACTTGATTGGCTCACAACAGCTCTAACTTCAGTTCCAGTGGAATCCAAGGCCTCTGGCTTCCATGACCATTAGCACTCATGTGCAGAAGCACACACATGCACATATACATAGTAATAGAAATAGATGTTTAAAAATAAAATATTGGAACTGGAGAAATGGCTCAGTGGTTAAGAGCACTGGCTGCTCTTCCAGAGGACCTGGGATCAGTTCTCAGCACCCACATGGCAGCTCACAACTGTTTGTGACTCCAGTTCCAGGACTTCTGACACCCTCCAACAGACACATGCAGTCAAAACACCAAAGAACATAAAATATAAAGAATTTAAATGTAAATAAATAAAATATTATTGTAAATATTAATAATTAAACCATTCAAATATTAGTATCAATATTAAATAATTTTAAAGTAAAAAATCCTTTAAAATTAAAAAAATTAAATTAAAAATTTATCTGAAAGATAATAAAATATTTCATTCTCTGGGCCTGGGCTATAGCTAGGTGGTAGAATGACTGCCTAGAGTGCACCAGGCTTTGGCTTTGATACAATGAAAACACAGAATTTCAATGAGGCACCATTACCAACTTCCCCAAGATTCAAAAAGTGTGGCAGGCAGGGCAGAAAGAACATGAGAGCCAGGCAGGGAGAGGAGAGCTGCAAAGTGCTGTCTTCCCTGGTCTGGAACTCACTGCAGCTGGGATGACCTCCACAGGCCCTGTGGGTGATTTGACTGTCAACACTGCAGCAGGAAGTTCAGGGGCCTGAGCCTGCCTGAGGATTTACACACAGCTAACCCTAGCATGGGGAAGCAAAATGGCCCCATGAACGCCAGTTCAATCCCTGGGGTCTACACGGTGGAATGGAGAACTGACTGCCACATGTTGTCCTCTGACATTTACATATGCACCAGGGAACACATCCCCTCTCTGATAAATAAACAAGTAAAACAAAAAAGGAAAAAGGAAACAGTTGATGGGGAGGGCAAGAATTCTATGTCAGTGGTGAACCACTGGTAAGTTGCTCACACTCCTGTAAATAACCTCTTGCTCTCTCATGCTTCTGTAAATAAGTCCAATTAAATTCATTGATACAGACACAGACACACAAAACTAATGAAAAATATAAGCAAAATGTTTCATATAAAAATGATATTAGTGCCAGGCATGGTGGTACACACTTTTCATCCTAGCACTTGGAAGGCAGAAACAATCATATATTTGAGTTCCAGGCAAGACTGGTCTACAATTCCAGTACCTGGACAGTTAGGGCTACTTAAAGAGATCCTGTTCCAAACAAACAAACAAACAAACAAAGAAACAACAATAAGTGGATAAACAAACAAATAAATAAATATTAGTCAGTGAGAAGTTGAGAAAACACTATCAAGTGTTGACAAGCAATAATATTTCCAGGAGACATTCACACAGGGCCATTGGACAGACAACAAAGCCTGCTGCAGGCATTGAATGACATGGTCTTTATGGGCTACGTCAACTCAGCAGACCCTGTGTTCAGGCCTGTGTTCCCTAAGGATGGAGAAGAAGAGATGAAGAGGCAGGAAGAGCCAGAGCCTCCTCCCACTTGTTTGTGTCTCCTAGCAATGATGACACCCACTCCAAAGCTCTACCCAAACTCCAGCATCAATGACAGGGAACAGTTCCTGCTGCCGACTCAGCCGCTTTACAGAACCATTGAGGATGTAGATCCAAGGAAGAACACTGGATTTTAAATACATTGGATCTCCAAAGTCTGTTCAATTACACAGGACACAATGATATACTCTTCTGTCAAAAGTGTTACCTGGTGTATGGGTGGCTCACACCTTTAATACCAGAACTCAGGAGATAGAGGCAGGTGGATCTCTGTGAGTTCGAGGTCAGTCTGGTCTACAGAGTAAGTTCCAGGACAACCAGATCTGTTATACAGAGAAACCATGTCTCAAAACCAAACCAAAGCAACAAAATACAAGGCCCAGAGTCCATGGAACACCAACACTGATAAAAAAGCCACAGTGTGCAATGTTCTGAAGATGATTATACCTGGGAGACATGGCACTTACTGACACATGGCATCACCCTTACAACAGAGAGGTGCATGAATACAGTCCTGGGCTGGCATTGTCCTTGCACATGTAGAGTACATCTTCCTAAAAAGACCAACTCCATGGAACTTTCCAGAATACTCACCCCCATATTTTCCCATACTTTTTATAGCACTCAATGTCAAATTTCCACATACCCTGGAAAGAGAAATAGCATGAAATCCATAATTGCCCTGTATGTATCAACCCTTCTGTATCCAAGGAACCAAACCCTAAAATCCCATGAAGGTAGGTTTATTGCTTATGACAGAGAAATGTTCTTCAGTAACATTTAGTTGAACCAGCAAAATGGCTCACTGGGAAAAAGGGAGAGTGATAGGGTAGGACATTTGATACCTTCCTGTGGTCTCTGCCTTCAACCTCATAGACAAGTACATATACATATCACCAGATAAAAATTGCGTACAACAATAATAATAGTTTTAAAGAATGTGCAAAATAAGTATAGAACCTTTAGGAAGAAAAACCTGAGAAGACATTTCAGAGTTAGAGCACTTGCCTGGCAGGTAGAAGGCCCTGGACCCCATTCTTAGTACCACAAAAACAAAAGAGAATAGAAAATGTGTCATTAGTGGTGGAGATGTGCCTCAGCATTTAAGAGCAGTTGCTGATCTCAAGGATCCAAGTTCCAACACCTCACATTCATCTGTAACTCTGGCTTCAGGGAATCCAGTGCCCTCTTCTGGCCTATGTAGGTACTCCACCCATGTGCACAACCCCATGAGTATATGCATGAAATCTTCTTTCGAAAAGAATCAAGTGTTAACCAGGACCTCCATTTCTAAAGGAAGAGAGTGAAGCAAAATACTCTAATTCTCAAGAACCCAGACATGCCATGAAGGGTGAATGTTGGGGATAGAGCCATGGAAATAAACTCAGGGGTTCAGTGATTTTTGCAGAGAACTCAAGTATATGAAAAGTCCCCCAAAAGAATTTATGTGGGTCTGTAGTATGCTGATTCTTTAGAAATATTTAGAAAAAGAAAAAAAATGTTGATCATAAGCCTGGGTACAAAGAGGAGAATTTTAATTTAATGTATACAGGTTGATATCATTGAAGCTGGAAACCCCTTCAAGATTTTCTTCAAATAAGTACAGCAGTACCTTTCCAGAATTTGCACTGGGTAAGAAACAAAATTCTTTTTGCTCACAAAGTTTGAGCATCATTTCCTGAATATGAAGATGAAATGGGCTGGAGATCTGGGTGTTTCACCCAAGGCAAACTTGACGTTGAATAAACTGACATTAGAGCCAGTGAGATGGCTGCGGATGAAAAGACACTTGCCACCAACCCTGATAACCCGAGTTTCATCCCTAGAATTCATATGGTGGAAAGAAACACTAAGAAGTTGTCCTTTGACCTATGTGTTCATGCCAAGGTACATACATACATACACACACACACACACACACACACACACACACACACACACATACACACACACACAGCTAAAATTATGAAATATGGGGGATAGTTGACAGTGGAAGCTGTGGAGATGGTTCAGTGGCAAAATCACACCCTAAAAAGCAGAATTTAAATGCCCAGTATCTGTGAAAATGCCAGGCAGTGTTTAAAGCCCTCCAGTAGTCCCCACTTGCCAGAAGCAGAGACATGAGGTCCCTGGAGCAAGCTGGCTAGCAAAACCAGTCAAGTCAGAGAGAGCTGGGTTCAAGTGAGAGACTCTGCCTCCCAAGTATCAAGTGAAGAGTAATCAAGAAGACACCTAATACCAACCTCTGGCCTCTCCATGCACACACAAATCCATGAATATGCACCTGCACACATGTGGGCACTCACACACATGCAAATACATGCATACACACTATAAACACACACACACACACACATTTGATAGTTTTAAGTTGCAAATAAAGTCCCAAGGAACCACTAGACAATTTCTAATATCATGAATATTAGATATTAGATAACACACAGTATGAGGGCCTGACGTCTCAGTGGATGCTCCCAAAGAGCATTTAATAGAACTAAACCATTATTGGCCATCAAGGGAAGCCATATGGAGAGTTCAATCAACACTCACCTTGTAGTAATTCAGCAGAGTTCCTACAAATGGCAGAGGTTTGGGCCCTGGAATTCCCTGTTTCTTAAAAATGTCATGTTTATGGGTCCCATATCTGTAAAGTGAAACAGAAAGCCTTGTGACCACACACAGAGGAGAGGAGATAAATGTGACCAAAACCCCCAAGTGAAGCAAAACAATGACTTGGCTGCCCCTCCAGTTCCCATAGAGCTTAGGGAAAGGCTGGGGGGTTCAGTGTGCATGGCAGCCTGCTGTTCAAACCCATTTCTCCTGAGTTCTGGTGGAACTAGGGGTAACCTGAAAGTCAATCAGGTCATAGCCAGAGTAAATCTTATCAGAAAAACTCCTCACCTCAGCAAGAGGGAATTTAAAGTGTGTGTGTGTGTGTGTGTGTGTGTGTGTGTGTGTGTGTGTGTGTGTGTGTGTATGCCAAGCAGATCAGAATAACATCAATATGAATGTTAAGAGTTAGTATACCTGGGCTATAGTTCAGTAGTAGAGTGCTTGACTAGCACATACAGACTCTGCTTTGATCCCCCACTATGACGAAAAAATGCAAAATTAACTCAGGCCTTCAAGATGACTTCATAGGGAAAGGCACTGGCTGCCAATGTGGATGATCTGAGTTTGACCCCAGGAGAACACAATAGGAGAGAACTGACTCCCCAAAGTTATCTTCTGATACTCACGTAGACACACAAACACACACGAACACACACACTGTCTCATGTGCTGCCCCTAGGCCCAATAAATAAAAACGTAATTTAAAGTGTTTTTGCAAGAGTTAATTTCAATTCTGCTCTCTTTCTGAAGTTTTTATTCTAGTGCTTGTGGAGAGCATCAGATTCCCTGCAACTGTAGTTACAGATGATTGTGAGCCACATGTGGATCCAGGTTTCAAACTGTGGTCTTCTACAAGAGTAGTCAGTGCTCTTAACCACTGAGTCATCTCTCCAGCCCCTGCTTCTGATACCACTTTTGACCGTCCAGACAGAATATAGGTGTGAGTATTATCCCAATCTCGAGGACACAGTGGGAGAGGATCTTTGGTGGTTACTCACCGGTATAGGAGCACCAGACTGATTGCCAGGAGGACCCAGGTTTCCAGCGAGAGAACTGAAGTCAGGTCCATCCTGGCTTCTCTGTCAGCAGTGCAACGCCCTGTGTTCTCCCTCCAGCTGTGTGTGCTACCCTCTGTAGGGCTTCCCTTCTGCCCAACGGTGCTGAAGTGTGCGCAGCCTGCAGTGTTTATACCCTGGGAAGATAGTGGGGTCAGGGCTCCAGCTACCTGGACTTTGGTATCCTCTTCACTTTGGCAGATCAGAAAGTTCATGCACAGCCCATTTTAATATCTTTTGAGCTAACATTCAGTGAGGAATCAATAAACAATGTAGTCATTTCAGGAAGATTACAGGTTCTTTGATTTTATCAGAAATTAAACAAATTCATTGACATGAAATGCCCTCTCACTAAGGCTGTCCTCATTCAAAAATACATGAAATGAAGCAAAAATTGTGCTATCTGGATGCTGACCTTTGCAGAATGTCAGTGCCCCTCCCTGAAAGACATTTTGTCATTTTTAACAACTCAACTCAGCAAAACAATAGCAATCTGTTAGAACCTGTCCTCACCTGTGCCCCTAACAAATAAAGTCACTTCTCCACGGTATGACTACCACACATGTGTCTCCTTCCCCTTAGCCCACCACTGAGGGTCTTCCTGTGTACCCTTTACTAGAGTGTAAGACTGTTCTAGGCAGTAGTCACCATTATTATAATAGAGTCGTCATTCAGACCAGTCGAGTTGAACTGGGAGAGATGGCTGGATCTAGTATGTCCCAGGGGACCAATGGTTCAGCATGGTCCAATGAGGTCATGCTTTACAGAGTCAGGAAATGAGACTCAAGCCTGCAAGTGCCCCTGGCAGCTATGGCTCACAACCAAAGACTATATGGAAAGCTAATATGAAGTGGGGTGTGTGTGAAAATCCTTCTGACCAGTTGCTTGTAACCGTTAGGGGAGTTGTTTTGAAGTGTTGAGATGTTCTAAAAGTCACTGACTGTGTAACTTCTGTAGAACCATATCTAAAATCACTGAAAATTACACTGTATGCCAGATGGTTTTGGCACACTCCTTTATTCCCAGCACTCTGGAGGCAGAGGCAGACAAATCTCAGTGAGTTCTAAACCAGCCTGGTCTACAGAGAAAGTTCTAGGACAGCCTTGGCTGTCATACAGAGAAACCTTGTTTTGAAAAACAAAAGAAAATTACACTGTATTTGGTTAAATCATGCAGTGTGTGAATTAGGCATACCAATGAAGCTGATATATTATTTAAAGTTTATATTTTTATTTATTTGTTTGTTTGTTGTTCAGAAAAAAGAAAATCTAGGAGTCGTGATGAGAATCAGATGGTAGAGTGACATCTCAGCAGTCACAAAGCCCTGGCTCCATCCCTAGCACCAAGTAACTGGGAGAAGACTTCTGTAATCCCAGAACTCAGGGAGCAGAGGCAGGGGTCAGAAGTTCAAAGAGAAAGTTCAAAGTTATGTAGAGAGCTTCAGCCCAGCCTCAGATACATGAGACCCTGTCTAGGGGAAAAACAACAACAAAACCCCAATTCCTCTTCTCCTTCTACCCACCAAAATTCACTCTGTGATGGGTTATCGTGAGAAGGAGACAGACCTCACCACTTACTGCTGAACTATTGACACTTAGCAGGTTCCAGGAGAGAGGGAGGCCTTGTATTCAGTTGTGTGCCCACTGGTGGGTGGTGAACCCACAGGCTCTAATGGACAGTTCTAAACCCACAGTCACACAGGTGGCACTAGTCAAAGTGTGCAGGACACAAACAAATCATGAATATGGGAAAGAGATTTGCATGGAAGAAGTGAGGCTGATGAGGGTGGGAGTGAAGGGGGAGAGAGTGGGGGATTAGTCAGGATGCCTCAGATACATGTGTAACGTTGTCAGGCGACAAAATGTGTTAATTAAAAATAAGGACAGTATGTGCTCTGGGGTGGGTTGTAGCTCAGCTGAGAGAGTACTTGTCTAGTATGTACAAAGACCTGGGCTGGATCATCAACACCACACAACAGGGCCTAGTGGTGGTTCTAATCCCTGCACTCCAGGGTTAGAGACTAGAAGACCAGAAGTTCAAGACCACATTGTCTACACAGCAAGTTTAAGTGAGCTAGCTAGGGTAAAGTGTGAGATCCTGTTTTTAAAAAAAGACTTCAGAAGGAAGGCATTATGCCCAGCACATTCTCTAACTTGTTCCAAATTAAATTCACAAAACAGAGCATAACAAAGTGAAGTGTATGTATCTTTCATTTGAGAATCAGCATGGACACACACACACACACACACACACACACACACACACACACACACACACACACACACACACAAAACCATTCTAAGCCAAAATAGTAATAAAGCAAACCTAGTAACAGTGGTCTAGTGATTACATTCTGTGACAAGCTGGATTCAACCAAAATGCAAAGGGCCTAACACAGAAAAAAGATGCTATTATCAGCTGTCTTTAAATGAAATGTTACAGGCTGGCAAGTTAGCTCAGGGGATAAAGTCACCTGTCTCTATTTCTGACAGCCTGAGATCAATTCCAGTTCCCATGGGATGGAATGAGAGAATGGATTCCCTAAAGCTGTCTTCTGGTCCTCACCCCACCACATATATACAGCCACACATAAAAAAGTAAATATGAATTAAATACTTTTATAAAGAAGACAGCCCAACACAGAGAAGACTCAACACACAGAGCACTTGCTGGTGATTCAGATGACCTGAATTGGGATCTTAGCACCCACATCAGGTGGCTCACAGCTACTTAACACCAGTTCCAGGGAAAGCATAATGGCCTCTGCAGGCAGTACTCACATGCACACCCATATATACACATACACACTCACTCACTCACTCACTCACATACTGACACACACATTCACACATATACACAGACACTTCACTCACACACATTCACACACATTCTTACACATCCCCAGACACACAATCATTTATACACATACTCACACACACATGCATGCACACAACAGCATACACACACTCACACACCGGCTTGCAAACAAAGCACTCACATATATTCTCACACACACATATTCAAACACAGATGAATGTAGGGTGAATTCTAATTTGTCTTCACAGTAAAAACCTGGACAGAGATATCAGGGTAAATGCTGAAAGATCAGAGAGGCAAAGGAGCAAGCCATAGCCACCTCTTAGCTCACCAACTCCTCAGCCTGAAAGTAGGAAGAGTGCCTGTGTCTGCCCACCTAATAGTCCTTTCTCCACACACCCATATCACTTCCTGCTTCCTCCTCCCTAGTGCTGAGATTAAAGGCATGTGCCTCCTAAGTACAGGGATCAAAAGCATGAGATTCCAAGTGCTAGGATTAAAGATGTGTGCCACCACTGCCCTCCTTCTATGGTTAACTAGTGGCTAGCTTTGCACTCTGATCTACAGGCAAGATATATTTGTTAGAGCACAAACAAAATATCGCCAAACTCCCCATTTTGTCTAAAACCAAAAAGATTATCACTAATATAAGAAAAACTATATACAATAAGTATAATAACTATGTACAATATATAAAGGTAATAAACACATCAACAATGTCTCGTACATTAACAATTGACAAATTCAGTGAAAATACTCCATATCTACCCTATCTTGGTGAGGCCAAAATGTTGTACCTAATCCACTTTCTATTATAACTTGCATTACCAAAACTATTTTTTAACATCTCTCAACTTTATACACTTTACACTTCTTTAGTGAATTTCTTTTCTAACTCTGGTAACAAGGAAAACTATAACCCTTACTATGAAGTCTTCAACTCCATCTGAGAACTGAGAAGGAAAAAAATATTACCTGAGTAAGCAGAAAGTGCAAGCAAAGGACTTCCAAAAAATGTGACAAATGACAGAAACAGCCGGCTGCCTGGAAAGTCACTCAAGGTTCCTTTGCAACATCCAGGCATCATCTGTCTTTGGCCTACAGGCTAGAATATCTGACAGACTTTAACTCAATTTTCCCAAGTCCCAGCCCTGAGAAAATTCCTCCCAGAGTCCTGGGGAAGACACTACATCTAGCATGGGGTATCTGAGGGAAAGGAATCTTCATACACCTTCGTCTTTTGGCCATTTACTTTATTCCTCTATACAGCTTCAGTTCCATCCTGACTCTCAGTTCCTCTCTGTACCTACTTTTTCTGTCCCCTCATAGCCCTAGTAATAACTAAGCACTTATGCTTTTGATCTCATCTCCATCCCCTGTTCCTTCATCCTCCATCTTTTCTTCCTCTTCTCCTCTCCTGACCTGATTCACCTACAATCTATAAGAAACTTTTCCTTGCTCCTCGCTCCTCAGTCAGCCATTTTACCTTACCATCTACAGAATCTCTGTGTTCCTCTCTTCTCTCTGGCCATGTGATTCTGTCTACCTTCTACTGAAAAACTTCCTTGTTCTTTCTCTCCCAGCCATGCAAGGTTATATCTGCCATGCAGCATTCTCTCCTTGGAATCCTGCCTCATCCTTCACCTCACCTGGATATGCAAAAACCTTTGTTCTCAGTCAATAGCTCTGGAATGCCATTAAACCTGAAGGCAAGGGATAGTCTGAGCTATTCTGTCCCTGATAGTCTTTCATAGCTTTATTTTGGGCTGGCCCTAGCTAAAGGAGAAATTTGCAAAAGGCAGATATTCAAATTAAATGCTAAAAAGGGGGTGCCAGGAGCTCAGAGGCAACAGTCTCCGCCTATATGACTTTATCCAAGTACTGGCCCAAGCAGGGTGCTCAGACATACACATTCTATGTATGGTGCTCATACATAATTTTATAGGAATTATGAACACAAGAAATTCATAGCAAGGCAAAGCTGAATATTAAAGCTGTATAACACCAAATATTCCGTGATAAATGTCTTAACTTTTGAAGTGGTTGATCAAAGTATAGCTTATTATAACAGATTCTTGTGGCTTGCCTCAAGTCTTATCTGTGAAGCAGGATTTTCTGAAGTACTGATTGTCCTGCCTTGTGTTGGCAAAGTTCAACAGTCCTTTCTTTTGTGTCTTACTTGTCCCATTTGTACAGCAACTGTCAGTAGTCCAGGCAAGGGCATTTTCTTGCCCAGTGGCTCTAATTTTTGCCACAAAAAGGTAAACTTCATATGGAGTTTCTTCAATGCCATTCATCTCCTATGAA